ATAATGCGTAAACTTGCCCAGCCCTAATATATATATATATATATATATATATGTAATGGTCAGGTTTTTTTTTTTTGCATATCAGAATGAAATACGGCCTGCAAATGATTTGTGACATTCACCCAACCACATTTCTTTGTTCATTTTCTTGTTTCAGCATAATGTGTTGATAACTTCCTGACTTCCTGAAAAAATTCCTCAAATGTGCACAGATAAGCACATTTCGTATAATCAATTATTCAATTTTCCTCCTCTTCCTGAACCGAGAACAAAAGATTGTCCTCTGAATTTCTTTTTGTTCTGCTGTAATTATACAATGACCTTCTGTGTCACGTTCATAAGCCGCTGAATGCGATTCAAGGTCCCGATGTCAAGAGCCAGCCAGATAGTCAAGATGTACCCCCTTTATTGCTTCGCTGTGTTAAATGTCAAGAAGTGGCCACAAAACCCATTATGTTCCCCATTCTGCATTAATGTGTGTCTTTTAATGAGCACATAAATTCATACATTAGCATGAGCCTAAGGGAAAGCCTCAACATCTGCCATATGCTTCCTTACACTAGGTGGCAAACTTCATGTGTTTGTAGAAAGGCCACTTATGCTGCTGAAGTGTACTGGATGCAGTAGTGGGGGATTCGTCCCCTAGGCAGGAAGCTTTATTGAGGAGCTTCGCATATGCCTTCAGGGTACATGGGGAAGTGGTTGTTTATTCATATATGTAGCTGTTGGTGTGAAGCCATGTGGATCTAGCTGGTTCCTGCCGAGATGAAACCGCTATATTCACATGGTCTGAAGAACATTTTGGTCTTCTGTCTGCTGAAGAGCTGAAGGGCCTCACAGATTTGCCATTTGCAGCTATGGATAAGCAACCTATGCTGGATGTTTTAAAAAAGATGGTTAAATCAAAAATGAGATTTCTGTCATAATTTACTCACCCTCAAGTTGTTCCAAACCTGTATAAGTGTGTCTTTATTCCTTGGAATATAAAACAAGTTCGTAACCAAACAGTTGACGGTAGCCATTGACTTTCATAATATTTTCCCCCATACTGTTGAAATCAATGGCTACCATCAACTGTTTGGTGACCGACATTCTTCAAAATAACTTTTTTTTTTGTTCAACAGAAAAAAAATTAACTCATACAGGTTTGGAATAACTTGAGGGTGAGTGAATGATGACAGAATTTCCTTTTATTGGTGAGCTATCCCTTTAAAGAAATGTATATATTCTTACATAATGTAGATGACAACACCGATATAAAGATATATTTGTATTTGTGATCAAAAGGACTTTGATAATTGGCCAATCATTTTCGAAGATGAAAGACATTTCTTTGCTTGAGATACGTATTTGCATGTTCTAGACCGTCATTCACCACATTAATATAATTAAATATCTTAATATGAATGGCTTTAAAGGTGAAATATGGAATGTTTTGATGTAACAAAGTACGGGATGATGCCTCAAATCATATCACTTTTGAGAGGTGTGCTGTAACTTTTGTAAGTGATTGAATTTCCATCTGGCAAACAATAAAATAGTGAGAAATCCCACAGACTTGCAGTGAAGGTAATATATGGGGAGTAGAATACAATCAAACAATATTTAGGCCCAAGGATTTATCTTTTTGAGTTGCGTATACAATTTACATCAATTCTGTTCCATGTTTCTTCGACTGGGGGCTATTATGCCATATTTCAAGCCCCCATGCATTGGCTCAAGATGATGTTGGAGCAGTACATATCAAACTGATTAGTGTAATATGAGTCATGATTTTTCTGGAAGAGAAACTCTATACATTTTAAATGCGTAATTTCCTGTCTGTTTACTATACTAACCCTAACCCAATGCTAATTAAAATGAAATACGAATGTTTTTTTGCAGTTAGGTTCAATTAGCTAACATTAGCAAACTTTTTTTACAACATTTATTAATTTAATTTAATTTTAAAATTATATTACATTAATAAAACATTTAATTCAATTATAATAAATCAACTTTAACTGAAACACTTTGCAATAAAGTTCAATTACCTAACATTAGTTAATTAATTATATCACGAATAACAACAAACATTTTTACAACATTTATTAATCAAAGTTCATATTTATTTATTACATTATTGTTTATTATTAATTCATGTTTGTTAATAATATATTAATTATTGTTATTTTAGACATCTTAAAACATATTAGTACATGTAAAATAAACATATAACCAAACTAAATAATATTATAATGTGGTGTTATTAGTAATTTAATTCAATTCAATTTAATTTAATTTAATTTAATATTTACAATAAAGTTAAATTAGCTAACTTCAGTTAACACACTAGATTATTTTTTTAAATTTTTTTTTACATTTATTTATTACATGTATTAATCTAGGTGGCTAATATAAAGTTATGTTATTGTTTGTTGTTAATTCATGTACATTAATAATAATGATATATATACACATATGTGTTACCTATATAACCTATACTATATTACCTAAAAAAAGGATGTAGAATAAACATATAACCAAACTAAATGTTAATAATATTATATGTTATTATAATTTAATTTTACTTTAATTTAATTAGCCTGGCTAAGCTGCCATTTAGTTGGTCGACATGACCAGTTGCCAAAACCTTTCTAAAATCTACAAACCAGACTGGGAGATCACATTAGACCAGGTTGCTTTAAGTTTTTTTTTTTTCACCACATTGGTGGTATGTTAGAACGAGCTTATCTCACACTACTTGTATATATGCATGTGAATGAAGTTGGATTGTAAGCCAGTGGTGCTATTTGCGAAACAAATGTACTTCTAAACTGATCCTTACATGTGTTACGTGATCTAGTCTGAATTTCCTGCTCACAGCAGCTGTGCTCTTTTCCAGGAACTTCCCTCCCCTCTGTTCTCTGCTCTCAGGAAAAATGTGATACTGACGAGCATCTACTCTTGAAGTGTCGCTCCAAATCACTCAGATCCGAAAAACAATTTTCCGTTTAGCTTTACAAGCTCTGAAAACAAATAGGAAAGTACATTCCACCCCCATCCGAAATGCTTCTCCACCCCAAAGTTCATCTTATGGACGGATTGAGATAACCTCAAGGGCAACCGCAGGGTGCAGTGATGCCGTTTGATGGAATGAAAAAGTGACGACTTAGCTCGCACTCTGTTTGTCTTTAAGATGGAGAACAAATGCAGACAAGCAGAGAGCATCCAGATGATAAGTGACTCTGACACACTCAGCTGCAACACAGCTTTGTTTGTATTTTCAAACAAGGCCTATGGCAGCTTAACCATATTCAACAATGATGTGGTTTTTTGTTTGCTTTTTTCTCACAGGGTTACTACTCAGGATTTTCAAATGACTTTAGACGAAACCGTGGGAATTGTACCAATTTTCCCCAATGCACCCTTTCTATCAAATGACATCTGCAGATGTCTAGAATGTAGAAGCACTAATCAATTTTGAAATATTGTGCAATTTTGCTTCCATAACAAAGTTAAATTATTAGTGGACAGAATTAAATTAAATTAAATTAAATTAAATGTAAGAAGGATTTTGAACCTGGCTTTATCCAACATCATGTTCTGGAAATGTATGCAAATTAGTGAATTTTTAATTGGATAAAGCCACATTGGCATATTTAAACATAACTTTTCAGAAAACTTGTAATACAGAATTTAATTTCTTAACCTTCTGTCCATTAAAAAAAATCATCTGTGGTGTCTTGTCGTAATTAAATGTTTAAAATACATAGAAATATGTATATTTATTTCTTTATTACACACTTAATCGGGGTACTGGTTGTTTATTTTGTGAAAATGACAGGGTGACATATATAATTATTTCATCAGAATACATGCCGATGTTTGAATGGCCGTGAATAGAAAAAGATGCACTCATTGTGTAATTATGGAATTCAACATGAGTTATGCGAATCTGCCAAACCTTGATTCCTTGGTACTCATCTACCTTCCTCTCTGAGCTATATTAAAAGACAGAAAGAGCAATAAAAAAGTAAAAATAATAAGAAAAAAAATCTCAAGCACTCCAGAGCTCTTATGAAGAACTCAAAGCTATAAAGGCCTGTTACCTCTTCACATCGCTGGAGTGTTGTGGGCTTGAGAGCTTTTGTATTTAAGACTATGAGTCTTAAATAAAGTGAGGTCAGTAGCTGTGGATTACATTCAAACTGTTTCCATTTGGACTGAAAAGTTATGAGCTGTAGTCGTTAGTCATGAGCAGTATGTTCTTTCTATACTCCAAGACCATTTGAAAATCAAACACGCTTTCAGAGCCTGGTGATTCTTCAGTCAGGGCGACCTTTGATTACTAGAAATCTTGGAAAATGAGTCTTTTCAAACAGTTCAAAATTCATGGCTCAGATTAGCCAAATGTACTTTGATGTATCTGGTGTCATTTTGTGGATTTAAGACATTGTGTGTCTTGGTAATTATGTTTCTCACTTTTTTCTAGAATATATAAGAATACACTGTGTAAATTAAAATCACTAATTTTGTGAAATACACATAATAAATTTAGCTCAAATCATGATATAAAACACTGCAATTTTCCATTAGAACTGCTGCAATGTTGTATACATTTAGCATTATAGGCACATGCAAGCATTTGCTATAGATGCTTTATTATATACAGTATGTATATGTATATGTATATGTTGTGTTTTTGGTCAAGGGGCCGAGTATACAATTTGTACAGTATAAAATCATTATGTCTATGGTAAGCCCCAATAAAACATGGAAACTCAACATGGATATAATAAAACCCAACAAGAAAATAATAACTTAAGAGAATCTTAAAGAGAACTTTGCCGAATGTTGAATAATTGAGGTCAGAGGTTCAGCACAAACGCTAACCTGAATGTTGGAGGAATATGAAATCAGTGCTGCCTGACAAGCACTGTTATAACTATGGGGCATACACATTCAGGGCTCCCATAGGAAGTGCTGATTATGTTTTTTGTTTGTTTGTTTGTTTGCAGCTCCAGAAACATGATCGGGAAAACGAGGATGTTCCTTCCAAATGGCGATCAGAAGAGGAGATGGCCAAAGAGGCGACACAATTGCACGGCCTCTTCAACTAGCTTAGGTATCTATGTGTTATAAAGTAGAGGTTGACTAATATTGGATTTTGCAATTACTATTAACTATAGTTGGGGAAAAAGCCAATATCTGGTGATACAAGAGTCTGAAATGCATGAACTCACAGGTGCAGTTTGTTGGTGAAAAAAAAAAAAAAAAGATTCGGTGCATAACCTCAAACTTTGATAACAACCCACCAACAGTAAACAACCCCTCAATACACCAGAGGCAGATTTCTTGTTATATTCACCAGATGGATTTTTTTTAGAAAATAATTATTCACCAGATGAAGTTGGAGATATATGGAATATATGTTCACGCTGATCTGAAGTGGCATGTTTCCATATACTCATCTTTTCCTTGGCATGTGCTCGCTTTAATTTGGGACACTTGATTAGGTCATCAAAATAAATAACATGATATGCATTAAAACTGAGGATACAAATATGGATGTATTGTCAGTGGTGACACTTGCCTCATTTATAAAGTGTGTGTGTACACAGATTTGATCTTAGAGTGTGCGTGCGCTTAAATCCATGCCAACGCTCATATTTGTAATAAGAGTCTTCGACGTGGAAAAGTGCTTGGCGTCACGTTCAGGATCTGAGCAGACGTACACACTTTTTCTTGTCAGACTACTGCAGGTTTTTGAAAATGTAAGCTGTTCTTGCAGCTTGCTGTTCTAAATTAAAAGATTTGGACGATGACTGGTGATCTTTTATATGTTAATGACATTAATTAGAAGTCGTTTACAAGGCAGAGAGCTGAAACCATTCAGTTGCGCGCAAGTTCAAGATCATTTGCGATTCATAGATTTCAAATCTGAAAGAGGCGTACGTGTGTTTTCTGTGCATATGTTCATTCTGTGAATCACATGTATTCATATTTGAGAGATGATCGTAAGATCAAATTTAGGATGGTTTCTGTGCAACATTTTGTAAACAAGGCTACTGCCAATGGAGGAGAAAAGGGTATGAACCTACATTTTTGCCAACAGTTTGAAGAGCTAGTTTGTCAATCAATCAATCAATCAATCAATCAATCAATCAATCAATCAATCAACCAACCAACCAACCAACCAACCAACCAACCAACCAACCAACCAACCAAATTCTTCCTTTTATATGCATTTTCTGTAACATATTTTGCAGATTTCAATATATGTCATCCTTTTTTTTCCAGCCAGGGGTGGAAGACCTGCAGATGGAGGGCATCAACAAGTTGATAGATGTTCTTATCTATCTTTTTGACCGTTTATTGAAATAAAAATTTTAGTTCATTTATGTATTGTGTTTTTTTCCCTTCTTCTATAAACTAAATATGTCTTTTAGTTAAAGAAGTAAACCAGCTCTCTTAGTTTAAAGTGTTTAGTTGGTTGTATGCCATAGGCCGAAAAGTACAAAAAAGTATTAGTAAATCTCTACAGAACCACAAGCCCATCCAATGAGGCATTATCAGCATCTTTCTGTAAATAGGCTAAAATACGATTTGACGCAAAGGTCAAGCTATAAATTCAATTTGATGTAGTGCTTGTAAGCACACGTTGGTAAAATAAAAACATTGAACCGCTCTGCTTGCATGAGTCTCAAGCTTTTACAGATGTCTCTATAGTGAAACAACAGCAGTTTGACACAGATTTACGTCTTGATGCCTGAATTGCCAGAAACTGCTTTTAATGCAGCCTATTTATGCAAATATTGAAAGCTGGCATGGCAAGCTGAAGTAACCTTAATGGAGTATCTAGAATAATCATTTAAAATCAACAGAGATGTTACCTTTGTGACAAATAAGCATTTATTGTTGGTTTGTGGCATTAGTTACCATACCCGCAGTTCCAGCGCTGGAAACTATTATGAGTTTTATCATTCTATCAATGTGGAGATAAAATGGTCTTGACTGGCCCTTTACTCATCTAGAAAAGGAAATACAATTCTGACAGGGTAATGTGTACCAGCCCATAGCCTTTTCAGAGTAATCAAGTTGTGAAAAGGCCCATGAATTTTAAACAATATCATTATCCACAAGGGATTCCTTTAAGAAATGTGTATAACAGTTTAACGGAGGAAGAATCTATCACAACTTGCAAAACAGAAATAAAAATTCACCTAGTTTAACAGCAACAGGATAGGCATACATTACCCATGGCGTTTGTCATCAAAATTTAAATGTAAAGGGCCTAATTTTTCTGCTAAAATTGCAGGTTAAGCTGGTTGTAACAGATTTAAGGTGGTGCCTCAGCCTAGTCAAACTGGTATTTAACTGGTCTCCCATCTGGCCAGCTGACAAGTGCCCAAACCCCCCTCAAAACCAGCAAACAACACCAAACTGACCAGATAATACTGGTTTTACAAGGGCTCCCAGAACATCAGTTGGGTCAAAATGCCTCCCAATGGGCAAAAGTTTCAGCAAACTTAAAAAAACAAAAACAGGATAAAGCTAGCTAACATTCTTCATCTTGAGATTGTTTATTAATTCTGGTATGTAATATTCTTATAACATCATGTCCCTGAAGCACGATACTAATAGCCGTTAAAAAGTGCAGAATGAGGTTCAAATCAAAATTATGTAATAGTGTTTCATAGGGTTGTTATTTAATCATTTGTCTTTTAATTGAGTTAGCCTTAGTCTAATGTTATGATACAGAATGTTATGATATTGTGAATCATAGTTTGTACCTTAGATGCTGTGCGGGACATGATTTTTCAGTTTTTTGGGGGGGTTTTTTTGCTATAATGTTAATTTGTCAATAAGTCCTCAGGCTTATTTAAAAGTAAACAGATACTGCAAATTATTTCAGATATCATTCAAGTTAGTTGCTTTAAATTGCCAATGATAATCAAAGGATGGAAGTATGTTGCAGGAAGCATTTCAGCTCAGGTCCTCAAAGATGAAACCGCCTTATAACGTCTCTACAAGAGACTTTTCTCTGATCCTTTTTACAAGGTTATGCAGGCCTTTACCCAAAGTCCCACACAGAATGAGATATTCATCAAACATTTCCTTCAGCAGTTTTCTCCAAAATCTATCCCTTTTGAATCCCATCATCTCAAACGCCCAGGCTGAAAGTGTGAAAGAGTGACTGGGCTTGACATGACACAGAGCAGAAGGCTTTTTTGGAGTTGTGTCTAGCGTGCTAACTGCTAAGCTTGTGTGGGAGATGCGGGTTTGATTTTAGTTCATGTCAGTCCATGAATTCCTGTCACTTTTATTAAAGTGGTAAAAGACTCCAAAATAAAAAGTAGGGCTTTTACCAAGAATGTTAGCACTATATTCTAATTCCAGTAAGCTAGCTGTGACGCTGCTGAAAAATACATGTCATGCAGCATAAGGTGGTCTAGATGATCCAACCAAATGTGTTCTGTAACATGTCAAGTCAAGTCAAGTCACTTTTATTTATATAGTGCTTTTAACAATACAGATTGTGTCAAAGCAACTGAACAGCATTAATTAGGAAAATAGTGTGTCAATAATGCAAAATGACAATAGTAAACACTCATTTTTCAGTTAAAGACAGTTCATCATTGAATTCAGTGATGTCATCATCCAGCTCA